AAAATGGGTACCAGTGCAGGTCTCCTGTAAAAGCAGTGGCAAGAAAGAACTTCTGGAAAGCAGGAAATACTTGTGTCACAATGCATACTTGGGACCCAGCAAACAGGCCCTGGTTACAAATTCTTGCTTTGCCCTGCTTTTCGGGGGGATCTTTAGCCAGTGATTCCAAATCTGTGAGCCCTACCCCAAAACAGTGACAATACCTATAGGTAATAATGTTGCAAGGACTAAATAAAATAGTAACTGTAAGGTGGTACTGGTGAGTGCCCCCTTAACAATTTGCCTGGTCTGACTCTGTGAGGGCCTAGTTGTTGGCCATATCTCTACATGCCATGTGTGTAGCTGGGTCTGGACACACACACACGCACGCACGCACGCACGCATGCACGCAGTAGTGCTGGACCAGCAGATTCACTGCAGGGAGCAGGAGTTCTCTCTCCCTCCTCCCATCCAGCTCCTGGTGCTGAAGCTTCTCTCTGTTCTGCAGTATTGGAAAAGGAAATTACTGAACAGATTGCAATTAAGTGGTAAGGGGGGAGAGAGAGACAGCAGCCCTAAAATGAAGCTTGACTGAGCGCTAAACTGTGTTTTTGCCTGGAGCCAGTCAGGAGCCTCTGACAAGAGCCCGTTACCACTTACAAATCTAATTGCAGAAGGTGTGGCTGGGGTGGCCCTGGGAGCCCCAGGAGAGGAGGGGGCTGCCAGCACCTCCAGGAAGACTGCTGGCCTCTTGCTTGTTGCCTCAGAAGTTATAGAGCCACGCTGGAGGAGAGGCAGGTGGGGGGCAGAAGGCTTGGCTGCTGACGAAGGCCTGGACTTGCGAATTTCTGCAGCTATTATAATAGTTTCCAATGATTTAGTACCTACTATACACCAGGCATCCACAATCTAATTATCTGTTTGATTATCCAATCCTGGAGCACTCCACAGGTAGATGATTATTACCTCGTTTTACAAAGGATAAACTGAGGCACAGAGTGGCCCTACTATGTGCTGGCCATTGCCCTAGTCTAGGGACTTTATTTACATGACACCTCTTTTCAATCTTCCTACCACTTTGGTCCCATTTGGTGAACGGGCAGGACTTCAAAAGAGTAAGTAACTTGCCCAAGATCACAGAGCTGAGTTACAGATGGCAAGAATTGAACCTGGGTGTCTCTGACTCTGGGGAACATACTTTTTAACTATAACACTCCGTCCCTTTATTGAGCAAGGTTTCTTAATAGAGTTGCCAGATTTAGCAAAACAACAACAAAAATTTGGGATGGCCTGTTAAATCTGAACTTCAGATGAACAATGACTTTTTTTTTTGAGTATTGTTAAGTAGATCCCAAGTACTACATGGGGTATACTTGCATTAAGAACAATTTATTTATTTATTTTAAATTTTAAACTCAAGTTTAACTAAATGCCCTGCTCTTTATCTGACAACCCTAGACCTTTTTTCTTCCCCTGCCTCAAGCTCTCCTCTATTCTGCCAACAGCTTGCCTTTAAGGGCGGCCCTTGGGCCCCGCCATGCTGGTGTGTCTCTAGGCTGCTGAAGGGGAAATCAAGCTCTTCTGCTCCAGAGGGTGGGGCCATGGACATATCCCTGCTGTGCTACCTTCTGTGTGACTTTGGGCAAGTCTGTTGCTCTCTCTGAACCTTCTCCAAAAGGCAAACCCAGTAGGAGGTACTAGGTAATTAGTATATTTGCCAGCCCTAACTTGCCTAATGTCTTCTCCTTTTTTCCTGTCTGCGGGAAAGATGGTACAAAATCTCTGACCGTGTGCCATAAGGACAATGAACCCCAGGGGAGCAGTGCTGGTCGGGGCAGACCCATGGTGTGAGCTGGGAAGGCTAGGGCCCGAGGGTGCTGGGAAGGGGCTATTACTGTCTTTGTCCTACAGAGGTGGCAGCCTGCTGCAGCATTCAGATGCAGGTCCCCGGCCTCTCCCGCACTGATGGATCTGTGATCTTGGGCAAATTTCTCAACTGGGGACTGTGCCTCAGTTTCCTGAACTGTTAAGTGGGACTAATGCTGCCCTGTGGTGTATGTACAGTGCTGGTATACAGGAGGGGTCAAGTAAAGGGTTCTTTTTACCATTATTATTGGTGGTGGTGGTATAAATATCATATCCTTCTGGAAAAAGCATCTTGAGGAATGCTGACCTCTGAAAGGACACACACATCTCAGGCCCTCTCTGAGCTTCAGCAAAGAGGACAGCACATCCCAGGCTGCCTTCATTTCAGCCAAATTTTATTTGTCAGATTTTTGACAGACGTCTAAATTATACATTGAATTTTTCACATGACCAAATACCACGTCCCTTCCTTTGATTATCATTTTCAAAAGGGACTATAAAAAAAGACCTTTTGATGGCTCAGACCAAACCCTGAGACCACACGGAGTGCGGAGCTAAAAATAAAGGAAAGTAAGAACTGGCCCCTGAGAAGGAAAGAGAAATCAAAGCAAACCCTGACGGGAATCAAGGGATAGGTCCTGGCGAGGGTGGCGTGGTGTCACCCTCCAGGCCAGGCCGGATGAGGAGCAGCTAACAGGGTGGGGCACAAAGTGGCACAAAAATAACCACCGCTTTAGCCCAGAGGGGAATAAAGAAATTTGTCCAAAGCCAGGCGAGAGAGAAGTAGAGATGGAGTGGGGGCAGGACTGTGTCCTTCCAGCAGTTTCGGCTCTGCGGACTTCTGTAACCCTGGCACATTTCACCCCGCCGGCATAATCACTGACTTTCAGCTGTGTGCCGACATGTTTCCCAGCTCAGCCCACATCAATGACACCCTTGTTTCCATAGTAACCAAGGGAGAGTGAAGGGGAAAGGGTGTGTTGCCCTGGGCGCGGGGAAGCAGCCAGAAGGAGCCCCTGGCTCAGAGCAGGTCAGGAGGGCGCCCGCATCCCGGGCCCCAGCCCTCGCCCCGCACTCAGAGGCAGCCTTGTGCAGATCAAGTCTCACCCAGACTCACTGGCAGTGGGAGGAAGGGAAGACTGTATCCATCTTTCTAGCTTCAAATTCTGTCTTCTGGTCCCTGCCATAGGGGGCAGGGGTGGGGCTGGGAAGAGGAAAGGGGCTTGTAGATCATTCTGTTTTTACAAATGAGAGCTTTCAAACTCAGCATTTTTCGGTTTCTCTCATCTACTCCATGAGCCCCGGGAGGGTTCGGTAGGGCTCAAAGGGAAGGTGAAAGCTTGTGACATCTGCAACGTCTCTATGTCCTTCTGCTGAAAAGTAAATCTGAACATTCAGAGGGTGTTTCCAGGGAGAGGGCAAGTGGCTTCTGCCTGTCGGCCGAGGCCTTCGGAAGGCTCCTTCAAACAGTTTCCTAAGTTGGCGGTAAAAGAACGCAGATATTCTGCAGACCATCCACGGCCAGGGTCAAAGCTCCATATCGCAGGGTTCCAAAATTACAGACCTCATTTTGCCCCTCAGAGAACATCCCTTGTGCACTATTTGGAAGGAAAAACATTTTCAAGTGCTAGAGCCACTTTTCCAGCCTTACAGAAGGGGGGCTTTCTGGTTTCTTATCATTCTCTTTTGCCTCTGTTCAGAGCAATTAAAGGAGCCTGAGAGAATGGCACCTGAGAAGGTGGTTGCAGGGGGACAAGTAGCTCAGCGGTTTAGAAAACCTCACCTTCTTTTGTTTTGCAAGTCCTTACAGATCCGTCTGCACAACCCAGGGCACCTTTTCATGTCTGGCGCTGTTAATGACTTTCACCCCAGACCGCCTTTGAAGCTGGCCATGCTTCAGCCTCACCTGCACAACTTTGTCCAGAAAAAGCCAGTACTGAGGGCCAGGGGTTGGGGGGGCCCCTTTGGCTCACATGCCTTGGTGAGTTTGGGAAGGGAAGGCGGCTGGCCTCAGGAGACCCACCAGCCCCTGAAGAGTCTCTTACTCATTCTCTGAAAACCCCCACGCTCAGGCATCAGAAGAGTTCAGTTCAGGAGCTGGGTGATGTTCTGGCCTGCTTTCCCATGCTTGAAGCCGCTGATTTCTTTAGGCTCAGGGAAACAAGCTCTCTTTGCAACATGGGGTAGAAGTCTACTGTCCAGTCGGCCCACAGAGGTCGCATTTTGCTGGAGAGAGGCAGAGGCGGCCAGCAGCGGGGGGAACTCTTGCCTCTCCCGGCGAGGCCCCTGCAATCACACACACCATGTTCTTCCCAGCAGCAAAGCCTCTCCCCCTGCGAGCATCCTGCGCCAAGTTACCAGGACTGTAAAAATTGATCTCTTTTAAAAATCGATCTGCCTGCCTTTTCTCAGTGGAGCAGGTTCCTGGTAAAGCTGCATTTATTTTTAAAATCTGATAGCAGCAGCCTATTGTGATCATTTAAACACAGAATTCTTTGAGCTTTAGAAATCCCTTCTGTAGGACGGCCATGGAGAAGCCAGCTAATCAGTCTCGGCTGCTCCCTGCTCCACTGAACTGGAGAAAGCCTGTTTACGCTGGCCTGGGCCCTCCATGTGAGGGCTTCTTAAGGACCTTGTAATTTTTCTGGAATTAAACCTCCCACCTCTCCTTACATTCCAGATGTCATTACAGTCAAAAGTCATATGAATTTGCTTCCCTGTGTGACAGGCTGGGGGGCTGGGGACAGGGTATGTTTCTGTGGTGACTTGTTTGCAAGGAAAGATTTTTTTCCTCTCCAAAGGGTGAGGATTACACAGTCTCCTACCTACATGACAAGACAGTTTAATCATCTGCTGTCCTTCCCTTCTCCCTGAGCAGCACCCGCCCAGGAAGACTGCAGCCCTGGCTCGCTTGGTGATGGTAAAAATCACTGACCAACACCAGCAAATGCTGTGCTTTTAAAACCATGGGAGAAATGTAAGGGACAGGTCAGTAAATAAAGGAATGCAGCATAAGCTGCTTCTTCCTCTTCTTCTTCTTCTTTTTTTTTAAAGAAAAGCCCACTGGAATTGTCTAAACTGCAATGCAGTCTCTTGCTCATTTAAAAGATCTCATTTTCTAATCATGTGCTTTGAGACATTTAATACTATTTCAATTATGCAGAGGAAATAATATAATTCCTTTATTTGAAAAATGATACAGAACCTCAGAGATCAGTTAAATCTACTGCTGGAATGGGATTCTTTTTAAACTGTGTTGTTCCGTCTCTTCAAACAGCTGCAGCTGAACACAGATGGGAAAACATTTGGTCAGAAAGCAGCAAATTAGTGTTTTTCAGGACAGAATTCAGCTCCTGCAGCTCCTGCGTCTTCACTCATCTAGATTTTATTTCTTCTTTGCATTGACATTTTTGCAGACCCAGTTCATGCCGTCCTTTGGGGGAAATGGGCAGAGAAAGGCAGTGTTAATTGTAAGAGAGGCACACCCCCAAGTCTGGGAGGGGAGGGTCCTGAGTCCTCCCTCCCCAGTCACCAGCTCCAGGGAGTTTGCCTGCTCTGGAGGCCCACCTGGGTAACCAGGTGTGACCCCCCTGGGGAGGTGATGAGGGGTGCCCTCTGAGAGCACAGGAGGGAGATGGGAGCGGGAGCTCCCAGGGCCTGAATGTGAATTTCAGGAACTCCCTCTGAAAAAATAAATACATCTGCCTGGATCCAAGGCCTGACTGAGGAGCTATCAGGAAAGATTCCAGCCATTTTGGCTTTTTCTAAAAGCTGACCTTTGCCAGGGCATTAAATTCAATAAGCCACCCTTCTGGTGCCCCAGTGTGTTTACAGTGTGACAGTGTACACTTGGGTCAAATTAAATTTCTTTCTGGAAAAACAAACCAACTGCAGTGTGTGTTACTAGACACACACTGGGGCAATGTGCATTCATTTCTGTTCGTGCAGCCCTACAGATAGGTTTAAACAGGACTGGCCTGATTCTTGCAGCTTTAAGCACCACCAAGCAGAGAGGCTGAGAAGGTTCCCTTAAAGGCAGTGACCTTGAAAGCGTCCTCTCTTAGAAGGCTGGAGAGAGACAGAGGTAAAAACCACACAATGCCTACAGCCACCTGGCAGGCGGCATGATTTCTCATGGGTGCCAGGCCTGCCAGAGTTGACCTCTTTTTCAACCCCCCTTGGAGCCATCCCTAATGCTCTCCTTCCCCAGAGTTTCTGCACGACCTTCAGGGCTGCACAGAATCCCTTTAGAAGCCCAGAACAAAATCAGAGGAGGGTCTGCAATGAATGCCTTTCCCCTGCATCTCCAACACAAACTCACTGAGGTCCCCGTCACATTTGCACATCTCAGGGCATACATGACATGCAGAGCCCCACATTTCCCATGACCAGAGAGCTAGTAGTTGAACCTGAACAGCTGAGACAGCTTAAGTAATAAATATCAGCTGATACCCTTGGCCATTCGGAGCATTAATCCCACAAACAATACATCACTGCGGAACAACCAGCAGGCATCCTCTCTCCCAGCTAATCTGACCATAACCTGAATTTACAGTGATTAAAACTCTGCCAGTGGCCATCAGAGCCCTTGGGCAGGAGAACCAGATAATCTGATGGCTGTCCCAGAGCAGACCGTAGGTCACTTGCCAAGAGGCAGCTGGTCAAGGCTGAAAGCCCAAAGGTGGACAGCACCAGGCAGCAGCGGGGCCGAGGGCGGGAGAATGCCAAGGCGGGAGAAAAGTGAACTCCAAACGCATCTCCAATTACAACTGGGTCAGCTACTTACTCTGAAAAGCTTAGGCCAACTTTAAGGCCATTTATGAAAAGGATTAATTTAAAGAGAAGCATGTTTAATTTTAGTAGCTAATTGGTTTCCAGGAAAAAAAATGATAACCCGCCAGGAGACAAAAAATATTTTACAAGTAGAAGAGGGATGAATGAGATAACCATCTTCTCTTTGCTTTCAAAACTGAATAGCTCAGCACTTTCCATCTTCAGGAGCACGTACAAACACTATCAAAGGTGTGCATCTCAGTAGTTTCTCCTCTATATAGACTTGCAATATTTTATCAAATGATTTTCTCAGAGAGATCAAGAGCTGTGTTCCCACACTCTACGAATACCGTTTTTTCCTCTTGTTTTATGGATGATTATGGGGTGGGGGCATTCTTCTATCATATGTAACTGAACATGAAACCACTCAGAGAGATAGGACAAATATTTACTCAGCTGCAGAAACCCAGAGCAGAACATGGAGGGTGAGGAGCAGCTTTCTCCTGCGTATCTGCTATGGAGGCAGAGGGGATTTCGGGGTAGTGTCCTCCAGATGTCTGAGGGTCCACAGTCCTGCCAACAGAGGGCGCCCAGAGGTCAGTGCCAGGCAGCTGGCCTGCAGCCCTGGAACCTCTGCAGCAGCCACCTTCAACCTGAAGGGGTGTGGGAAGCAGAGAGAATTAAGTGGGGACAAAGACCTGTGGCTGCTCTGCCTTGGGGAGGCCACCCTGATCTGAAGTGCTTGGAGGTTGGGGGGTTGGACCCTTCATGTTATTACCCAGAGGAGACCTTGGGCTGGAGGGGGAAGTGTTGGGGAGGAAACCCTCAAAGAGGGGACAATACCTCTGGTGAAATCAGGGACAAGCTCTGCCAAGTTGCCCCTGGAAAGAAAAGACAATGGTGCCCTGCAAGACTCTTGAAGGAGGTCCATGGCAGGCTGTCTGGCGGCTGTGTTTACGGAACCTAGCGTGATGTCTGGCCTACAACAGACACTTAATTTACATGTTTTAAATTAGTCCTTGTAACAATCCTGTGAAGTTGGTACTATTAGAATTTCTACATTATGATGGGGAAATGGGGGCACCAAGTAGTGTGTGGCAGGAGTGGGCTGTGAATCTGGGCATTCCAGATTCTGCATGCATGCTGTTTAACCATTTACTGTGTCTCAGTGAATGCCAATGAAGCTTAGAGAGAAGTTGGGAGTCACACTGAAGTTGGCGAAGGGAGCAATTCTAGCTTTTTCTTCATTATCATTTCCAGGGAATGTAGGGGAGAGAGACTGGATTAGCACCTTGTATGCAGTTCTGAAGGGGCCAGAGGCTGTTTCTGGCCTCTCAACTCTCCATATTCCCAGGTTGCCAAGTATCTATGCTTAAGGAAGCCTGCATATTTACCTTGCTGTGTGACCCCAGCATATTAACTGCCAAGACCACCACCTCCTGTGGAAACTCTACATTTAGACACAACATCATTGCAAGAGGAGGAGCCTTCTGCTTCTCATGTTTAAATAAGTGCACTGCATTACTCTTGCCTTAATTTGGCAAAGATTTTTTTTTCAAAACAAAAAAAGGTTTTTAAAACAGATGACTGAGAAAGGTGATTGTTTACTTGAAGTAGGTTACTGCTCTGCCTTCCAAAGGAAATAAACTCATAGGTTTGTTTAATGGTTGAACCTTTATTGTTAAAAACTGGTTTGACCAAATTTCTGCACATTCGATCTTCTCCATGGGGATGAGGAGGTCCTCCCCTTTCTCCTCCACCACACTTCCCCCTGAGCAACCTTGCTGAAACTGAATTTGCATTGATTAGCTTCAGTTCAATGACAGAGACTAAAGAGAAACAGTGGACCTCAAATACTAAGCTTTGTCTGGTCTCATGCGGAGGAAATAAATTTTATCATGTCATGGTATTATTCCCTACTATAATCACGGGCGAGAATATAAGGCTGCCCTTAACTATAAGGGTGGAAACCTACCAATTACAGATCTCTACATTCCAGGATTAAAGGCGCAGTGCCCCTCTCTATGGGAAGAGAGGTGTCTGCAATGCTCCTTTTAATTAGATCTCTCAATGCATCCATCACGCTCAATGGTTGGAAAGGTGCAGAGGCAGCCATGGTTGGGTGCGCCTGGCTTGTAATGCCATGAGGACTCACGGTCCCATCAGGAATTGCTTTAAGATGGTGAGGAGCACAGACCCTTGCTGAGCACTGCAGCATCTCCCATAGTGCCACTGGGCCCCGGGGTCAAGGAGCAGTTGGATGCAGCATACAGAAATACTGCTTGCTATTAATAATTTTCTGGTGACAAAGGGCACTGCACCAGAGAGGTAACAAAATCTTGTGTCCTGAGCTTGCTTTCTTAGTCTACAGAGAGGTTTGAAAATTTAAAAATAAACTTGATGTCTGACTTGCAGATAAGCAGTTCCATGTACACTTAAGAGTCAAAAGTAACTGATGCCAGTGATCAAAACTGAAAGTTTCTGTGATGACTGCCCTTGTACTGTTCACCATGTAAGAATTTATTCACTATGTAAGAATTCGTTCACCATGTAAGAACTTGTTCGTTATGCTTCAGAAGACTGGAGACTGACGAGAATTAGGCTTGAGATGGATTAATGATTGTACATTGAGCGTTGACCCCCCTAT